AGCAGTACATTTTCGCTGCGCGCTTTTGGTGAGACTAAGCTGATGCTTGGACTCGAGGAGGTGAAAAAATTTAGCAATTCTCCAATTTCAGGTGTTCGTAAAAGCCGAATTATTCCATTAGAACAAAAGCGTGCCCACTCGAGTCACTAGTCTGAACTTCAAGATAACTTCTCGTGGCTGAATAGGTACTAAATCCATTGGATGTTTTTTCGCCCTTCTGGCATTCCCACAAAGAAGCAACGAAATTGAAGTACTTCTTTGTGGTCCTTTCGCGGTATGAACCTTACAAAATGCTGAAAAGCGTTTCAAAAATGGGCTCCATGGCGTGGATAACATCCCTTGTGAGATTCCTACACGAGCGCTTAACTATCGCGATTCATTCAGGAAAGCTTATCCGGCACTGGAATCCTAAAATATCCTTTTACTTCTTATTGCTTATTGGTACCCAAACAAGTTCTGTTTTTTTCCTCATGTCATTGCCTAACTGACGACTGGTCGGACGCGCTTCTGGAATACTGTATTCTTGTTGTAATACTGTTGCTAGATTCTCGTGACCAGTTGTGATGCCCCAGCCCAAACGCAGCGGTATCATTTTCGATCACTCCTCTGACAAAAGTCTGCGAAATGTATTCGCACGATTTGGGATATGCTTTCTTGAGGATTTTCCGCCCTATAAGATTATATGCTCTGTCTTTTTAAGGTTCTAATCGCACCATTCTTTAAGAGCCCGAAGAGGTGCCTTCGCAAATTTTGAGACCTGTCCTTTTTGCATTTAATAGGGAACTGAAACCGCAGAGGCCTATTTTCTGAGAATGAAATCAAAAAGCATGTTTCTTCGAAGAGCATAGAACGATTTTCTTTGTCTTCTTCTCCCTAGCGCTAATACCCCGCACCCGCGCAATCCGCTGTTCTCGCTGTCGCCTTTTGTTCCGATCAACTGCGTCTTTTGCCGTGGCATTTACTTCAACAAGATCCTCCCCGATGACATCTCCTCATCTTTTCTCTGAGGCTCTTTACGGTCGCTTTCTTCAGACTCTGAATCCCAACGCCTTCCTTCATTCATGGCTCCTCAGCACGTGCCCATACCATCGCAATTGTGCCTCTCGTGCCTTCAGTTGGATCAGAGCTATTTGTGCGACTATCCGGACGTTTTCATTTCTGGTCGTGTCCTGCCGCAGGAGCAACTCAGCATTCTCATCTTAGCTTAGTGAAGGTACTTTTCTGGATTTATGGACCAGCGCTCGCTGCCGTAGTCATCGCTACTGCACAGAAGGTCTTGCCTTTGAGCGATCTCGAGCACGCCGGCCGCAGAGAGTGCTTGTTGACCCCATCCACTTCATGCAGGCTGCACTAATTCGAGCTCTCATCTCCTGGTTCACGCTGCCATCAGCTGCCAGGTAATGAAAGTCTCCGACCCGTTTCATACTTCCACTAGGACGGGTTTGGTGCACTCTTCGGGAGTCGAGTACTGATCTTCTTTACGTTCAGTAGCTGTCCGTTTTCAGCGAGTACATCTTGCTCTTGCACGTTGCCCTGGAAATTCTTCCTCACTATCCGCTATGAGGGCAATGCTTGTCATCGTGAAGCATGGTTTTCGTCAGACTCAAGATATCAAAGAAAATTAAGCACAAGCTTCAACAGATTAGAATTTCGGCAAGTTCACACAAAATTCCTAGCAAAAAATGCCATCACTTATGGACCAATCCAATATTATACACTGTCTGGCGCAGTTCGGCCTGATGGGCATGTTGATGGTTCTCATCAATCGCTGCCGACCCCCCCCCCTGTGGAAAATTGTAAGCTTACGAAGCTATGTAAAAATATAAATTTCGTTCACACTTGACAAGGGTCTCACCAAGACGTGATTTATCAAGATCTAGCATACAATTCAGAATTGGGTGATGGTGCGGAATGCCCGGTTTCCTTCCCACCCGCGAGCGATTTTGTCCTCTTGCCAACCTCTGCCCTGCAATGCGCGCACCCTCTTAGGCCGTTGAACAAAACAGTATTCTAGTCCTCAGAGGAAAACTCGCGTCTGCACACCATCAGGGGAAGCTTCCTGACCTGGACAGATGCTAATGCGAAACTTGGCCCCGAGACCTACCGCGTGGGTGTGCCACTTTATCGTTTCTAACATAGCTCTTACAAGGCGCACTTTGTCCTGCTTCGAAAACTGATTCATTTTGCTCCACAGCACTCATAGCCAGGTGGTGTGCTTTTCGTGGTGACGATCTAATCTGTTAGTTCCCGTCACTTCATTTTCACTTCGCTTTTTCATCAACAGTATGCCACGCGCTTAGAGAATTTTCGCCACAGTAATTTCTGCTCAACTTACACAAAACCCCATTGTCTACGACCGTAATTCGAGCAAGATTAATTGACGAAGTTTCCCCATTGGTTTTGTTGTTTTCAGTGCCTCCTATCACATGATTAGACATCTTGCTTGCACGACTAGGCGAAAAGGGACGACAGAGTGTTCTTCAAACGAAACTGCCCTTATTGGCCACGTAGTCATGAGATGAACCAGTACGGTAAGGTACCTTACGCGAGCACGTTGGCGAGCACTCTGGAGAAGGATCGTTTGTTGGGTATGCGATAGCGGCAACGGCAACGTTTGTAGTGGGTGTTCTTTCACACGCACTTACCCACTAAACCTGGATATGTAAAATCTAAGGCTACAACCCATGAAATGTTCCAGATGATTCTGTAGGTGATTGTAGAGGCTGCACGATATTCAAGAAACCTGTAGGCATTAAGGTGCCAGCTGAACAGTTAGACCTATGCCAATCACCAGTGATAGTAGCAGCAGTAGCTACCAACTATTAGGTTGGCAAGAAAGTCCTACGACACTTCGTCTAGAATTTCGTACCAAATTTCCTTTACTAGGCGACACCTCCAGGCTACGAGGTAATCACCACTAAAGACCAGGACATACATATGCCCACCTTTAGCACAGCTCCTCGAATCCACTCTTGTACAACTACGGCGGCTACTAGGAGAAGAGGTAGACCTCTTTTTCAATGACGTTGATTTCCAAAATTTTCACTCTTCAGAGGATGCAGTGGTTATGGAACAGGGTGATAGCTAGAAGCCATCAATTCGATGAGTAAACTGGGTAAGGTCGCATTCTCTGATCGAAATCGAGTGGTTTTTGGCAAAGCCTCTTTCGCCAACTGCGGTCTTCGAGAAGTAAAAAGGGTTGGGGGTTTCTGAACGAAATAATGTGTGGCGCCATCCACGTTTTGAGGTTGGGGTCAGGATAGACTGGGGGCTGTCACACTAGTGCCAGTATCCGGCGACATCGCTTCGAAGTCTCACCAGTAACGCAGTGAAATCTCTTCCATGCACATCTGCGTTTAGCTCATCGGGCGACTTTTCCCCTTAAGAGATCCAGGGTTATGTGAATAAATAACGCAAGGAGCTCAGCTCTTTTTACCAACTACAACGTCTCACGGAAAGTCTCTCCAGTGTGTTCAAAGAAGAGAAAATTCAGCCTAGACCACTCGGCCAACTTTGCTGGGAGACGGGCAAGAGTATCGTTATCTGCCACTAACCTCCGCCGCGCGCGGCGATGGTGCTTCTTTTTCTCAACTCGTGTCTACCTGTCGATTGGAATACCGAACTTCATGTAGACTCCGTCATCGAAGATATTCATGCTATTTTCGTTTGTGAATTCATATTGTCGCCATTACTACCTGGACCATCGTCAGTTGCGGCGCGACGATTTTCCCGAAGACCGGGATTGCAGACAGAAAGCTGTCTCGCGGCCTAAAGATATTGCCAACATGCTGGTGGTTACTTTCGGCAACACAGCTTCATAAAATAGGATGGGTCGAAAAGTACCTTGAGCTTTGGGGAAATTTAGGCTTTGGAACCTTCCTTGAAGCTAAATATGGTTGTCTGAAAAAACCTTAGCTCTCCACCAAGCGGGGGTGAAAAATTAATAGTGTTTCCTGTTTTTCTCTCAGATCCGTTGATCAGAGCGTCGTGGAACCTTCTTTCCAGACTAAAAGTAGCCTTTCAACGAATCCTCTCCATTCCGAATGGTGAGAGGTGATAGGAGGAAAAGCTGATATCTGTTGTATCTGTTGATAAATACAAGTGAGAATTCGGACAAACACGCTTTTTATTCACTGTGTGCGTGTACAAGTAGGAATCGTCAGGAGTGTCACATATGGAATTCCAGGGAGATTACTACTTCCCCCCACTATTTCGCTCCTGCGAGCCTTGCCTTCAGCATTTGAAGTCAATTACCCACCAGTCGTTATCACGGGCTTTCCCTTCGCGATACGGTAGCGAAAGTGGGAGGCTTCGCGACTACCCAGTATTTAAATATTTATAATTAGGCAAAGGAGCGATCCTGCGAGTCGGTTGGGTCAGTCTTCTGGAGAAGTGTGAGCGATACAATCAATATTTTTTTATTACCATCCAACAAGATTCAAGTCACCACTGCAGTGTTTCTCTTCGGCAGTACTTCGAGAGCATTATACGTGAGCATTATACCATTGCTTTGACTTTGCAGTCCTTTCTAATTCCATTTCATAGAGGCTGAGCTCGGCTAAGATTAACGCTCCACATCTCTACTCAAGGCTCTTTTGAAGTAGATTCTCCACATGTAGAGCATTTAAAATGCGATCCGACGCTTATGTTTGTTCACAAACTATCTGCAAGATAGAATGAGTCGTTCTGTGAGATCTCACATGGGCGCACGTCCAAAAATAGGAGCGACCAAGGCCGTCGTTGACACCTCTACGATTTCGTTGATTGGCGAGGCAGCGATAGAGATACGGTGATCAGTGTTCACATGGATACGGTAGTCAAAAACTCTTAAAAGGCATGAGCTGCACTTCGAATGTTACACCCTTTGTTCCTGCTGATGAATCTCATAGCGTGAGTTGGTATGCATTGTCATGGATGATACTCACTCCTTTCAGATGATCGACCTTTTTTACAAAATTTTGTCAGACTTGCATCCGTACAATGTGCGCTATCTATTTTATATGGTAACACCGAACGAGACAATCTATACACGTGCAGAAGATGTCCCTAACTTTTACCTTGATCCGGTAAGCAAAAATAAGGCGAAATTTCCAATGTAAGATGTATGGTTGACATCGGCGCAATCAGCCGCGTTGGTTTCTAGGAATATGGAATGAGCCCAGGCGCAGTGTTAACTGTACGGCTGTATTCTTCCTGAATCGATCACTTGCCGATAACACTGGTGAAGGAAGGTAGCCGGAGGCGAGCTCACTGCGCCCCTCTTGACACAACTTCGACTGATTGCGTCGTTATCAACTGAAATAAAGGGCCTAAACCTAGTGCCGCTATAGGGCACCCCTTGGTGCGCAATGCAGCATCAGTGTGAGAATGCTCGCTTTGCGAACGAAATAGTCTTTCATCATGATATATGAAATCTAGGGGACGACGTGGACGTTCACATTGATTCTGTTGGAGCTTTTGATATTGGACAAGAGCAAGTACGCATTCAACGATACCGTCACCTCTGTAAATGCCGGAATCTTATATCTGCTTTTGAAGTGAGCATTTAGTTTTTTTTCCTAGCCTTCTTTTTTTCTGCTCGGAACCCCATCTGTTGTGCATGTTTTTAATCTGTTACGGGGACCATTCGTCAATGGTGAGCCCGCTCCATTTGCTAGAAATCCCAATCGCAGCCTCCAGCCACCTGTAAATGGCTCGTGGTCTTTAATTGCAAATTACTCCATCCACGTGCCATCGTACACATCCCAAGAGCTCCAAAAAGGATCTTTCCGGTAAAGGAAAGAAAAACTGATTGTGAATCCCCTCAGCCGATGAAAACGAACTCACCAAACGCGTACGTTCCGACAGCTCTCGAAAAGGCTGAGTCTTTAGCCGTCAGAACCGATTCCCTCTGCTGCTGAAAGCGTGCAAGACTTCTATAGATGTTTGTTACCATTTCTTGTAGTATAACAACATCAGAATCATGAAGTCCCATTCACGCAAGCTATGTGCTTTTGTCAGAATCTGCTTTCTCTCTATTTCTGTGACCTTTTCCTTTTCAGCCTTTGTGCATCGTCTCTCATCAGTTCTTTTTCTTCTCCATTTCTCGATCATGTACAGTCCTCATCATTGCGGACCGGTGGGGCGTGTCAGTGCGGCTGCGTTTGGCGCGGTGCCAAAGTCGTTCTGCACCAGTTGTTGAAGCGGGCAAGTGACATTACTGTATTATATCCTTCGTATTACTCGTTTTCTACCACTTTTTGTCGCATACGCGTTTCAACAAAAAGGCTGAGAACGGCTTCAACAGTGTGCACACTCATACTGGCTGACACGCCCCACCGGTCCGCAATGATGAGGACTGTATTTGCATTTCTTCTGATACCTTCTTGCTCGTGTTGGCATTCAGCTTTTCCTGTTCATCATTCTTCACTTTTTGCCAGTCGCTAAGCATTGCACGCAGCCTTCTTGTGCGTCTCTGCTTCCCAGTCCCAATCACTACATCTTTCCCTGCCGATATTCCCATGATAGGTCAGTTCCACCTGGTGGAACCCCCTGTTCTCTTGACCTAGCAAGCAGCGACTTCTTCCTCGTTGTACAGAAACGGCTGACCACTATTAGGAATTTGTAACAAAGTCAGGCCTTCTACATATATTACCCGTTTTATCAAACATGTGATCCCTTACAATTTCGAATTTAGAATTGGCGGTCGCGATGTATCGGCATTATTTTATCAGAAGGTGTACGACATGTTGCACATTGTAGATCTGCCGGATTCATCTTTCACATGGATACTTTGCTTATTCACTCAGGATTTGATATTCTATTTGTGTCATCGCGCTATACATGGTAAGTGTACAGTTTGAAAGAGAATAGTGGCGCATCTGCCTTGAGGACGGACAGAATTGATTATAATTCGATGAAAAACGTTCATAGTGGAGCGATTGAGTTTGTGTCCTTAATTTGTTCGATACTGGGTGGGTATTGTTGGCAAGGTGCATAGTCTGAATGCTGAGTGATTGAAATTACAGTCTCGTATGCACATGCTGGAGCGTGTCAGAGGGGCCAAGTTTGTCCACGGCGCTAGCACGCTTTCCACCTAATATTGTTGCTTATCCTTCTTAAGGCTGAGCCCGCATTCAAATTCGATGAGTTATGCGGTTCAAATACTTATAACAAGGTAGCAAGTAACCCATTAGTGAAGAAAAATCAGAAAGAAATCATACGAAAGGCTCTATATAGAACTCCTTGCTTAACTGAGGTTTTACGTGCTTGAGTCGTAAAGAAGGTGCGGTCGCACGAGTTCTCAATCGTATATCAGCAGTTTTCCCTTACCACCCCGCTCTCAGCAAATGACGTGGGGAGAAGCAGCAGTGAAACAACCGCACCGTCAGATAACCATTAGGAATGAATGGAGGGCGGTGCCAATGATTGTAGGCTGGGCCAATCAGAAGAACGACTGTATGGTGGGCTTGCTCATTCGTTTTTGCGCCGCAAAAGTGGTGTAGTTGTCGCCTTTGCTGACCTAACTACCTGCTCTGCGAAGGAGAGTGAAATCTCAAAACTGGCAACGCGGACGCTGCCTTTAAGAAATAGAGAAGAACGGCTAACACCGCTACAAACTCATCCCTTCCCCTACTCCTGATCTCCGCAACGTCCGCAGTGAAAAGGTATGCAGAAATGGCCAGCAATTTTCCCAACTGAAAAAAAATCCATTGACTCAGCTTCAGGTCACAACCGCATCTCTTCGTTTTATCAAAAGATGTTAACATACTGCTTTTCATAAGCAGTTCGCAACATTTTTCGGATGAATCAATCCAGGGTTTATGTGTCGACAGCGGCAGGCTGTGAGATGGTTTTCTTTATTGACTTTTCCCCAATCCCAATCTTCCCCCCTTCACGCCTGCTACATACATTCCTCCCCATAGTTGGCGCCGTTGCGAAGCTGTATTATTATTGTTTACAACAGCTTAAATAAATTATTTGATGACGACCTCCCTCCAACCCATCCTGCAGTTTTGCTTGAAGCACAGGAAAAATTTCTTTGAAAAATTGGGTGGATTGGAAGGAGGTGAGAGGGATGGTGGGTAGGGCAGAGAAGGGCTCGTATCAT